GAGATATAAAGAAGTTAGTACCTGTACCAGCCGACACTCAGCTCTCTAGGAACAGGCATGGAGTGTGTGAGAGATGGATTTAACCAGGTGGTGTTTTGTCTGGCGAGTTGGCAGAGGAGAATGTGGCAAAGGGGTGAAGGGTATGTGCAGGGTAGTGATTACAATGGATCTTGGCAAGGATGGAAGGAGGAGGTGGTGGTCAATGAGCCACGTTGGGTCAAGATACTAGACGTCAGGATGGTGTGGTAGAGTCCCTGGAGTTGCCGGACTAGGAAAAGTTAGTATAAAATCAGAAGTAAGGGTCAAACAGAGTGATCTTGCAACAGACTTTGGAGGTGATGCCATTGTGGATGATGACAAGGTCGCTGAGTGGATGGGTTAAATGGGAAGGATGTGACTGGGTTAAAGGAAGGAGGTGTTTAGAATATGGAGAGGTGAGGATGTTGGATTGACCATGGCCATGGATATTGGAGTCATTAAGAATGAGGACAGCGAGAGGGAGCCAAGATGGCCAACTAGAGACACGGCTTGTCAGACTGTCCAGGCTGAAGGGTGGAAGGTTGGACTAAGGAAAGTGGAGAAGAGTTGTGGCCTGGATGTGGATCACAGGCAGAGACAGCAGAGGCATCCAGGGACCCCACCAAGAAGGGCTGCAAAGGTGAGAGAGAGGAAGAGAGAGGAAAAGAGGAGAGGCAGTGCTTGGTGCTAATGGCGCTCAGTATGCTCAGCCCTGCAAGGTAGGAAAAGTGCATCACGGAGGTTAAGACCTTGCTCATTAAACTGAATGTAATGATGAGTTTATTCAGGACATTGATAATGTTGAAGCAGAGGAATCGGAAGTTGGCCCCGGCCAGGCTGAGGAAGTAGATGGAGAAGGTGTTCGTGCCCATGCGGAAGCCCCGGAGCCAGAACACAACTGTGTTTCCCAGCAGCCCAAGCAGGGCAATGATGATCACCGGCAAGACAGGATTCAGGGCCAGCTCATAGCAAGTTATAGGAGGGGGTTCAGCACTTCCGTTCCTTGGTGTGAGTTCTGTGCTCTGGGCTGGGATGGTGGGATCCATGCTGAGAAACCCTCCACTGGTGCCCCTGGGAACACAAGATTTGAGCAACAACTGTATCATCTCTGATTCTCAGGACCATCCTGTACTGTGTGAATGACTGTCTCCATTTTACAGAGGAGGGGAACAGAGGTTTGCAGAGAATAAATAACCAAACAAAATGAGGGTTGTTCTCAAAGCTGGATTCAAACCCAGTTCTAGCTGGCTAAAGCCAGGGCTCTCTCTATTGTAACACAGGTCCTCTGCTGACATGGGAATATTCTGTGATGGAAACACCTCCACACAACAGGCTAGGGTGATGGACCTAAGGATTACTCTGTCCTTAGCCATAAATCTTCTCTTGGTGCAGGAATTCAAAAACACACAGAGGTGATTACGACACCCCCGTGACTAAGAGTGGTCCATCCATAGAGGAAAGAGAAGACCATATATTAGGGACATGAGGGGAATGACACCTCTTGCTAGGACAGACATGAGGATGGCTGGGTTGGGTGGGCTAGAAACGGCTCAGTGTGTCAGCTATTGAGGGAAGGTGCACTTTTTCTATCTCCACTGCTGGCTCCGTGTACAGCACACCCTGTTCTCAATAAATACTTACTCAATGCGTGAATGCATGAATGAGGAGCCTAATGGTAGTGGTAGATTTGTGATATGTGGAAAATAAAAATGGAACACACAATGAAAGGCATTAGAACATACAAGTATAAGGAGATGAAGAAAATGTCGTACCTCAGAATTCTTTTTGTGGAGAGCTCTGTGTGTCTAGAAGAATTACTTATGTGTGCCCAAATATCTGAAGTGGACCGCTGAGTGCCTTTGAAGTGAGAACTTAGTGTGGGTTTGTTGAGCACCTAGAATCACTTTGGTCTGCAGTGTGGGGGTAGGTGCAGGTCTGAGGTGAATCGCTCATCAATGCAGAGGAGGAAGGAGTAAGTGAGAGTGAGGTCTCAGTGCCACTGCTGGAGGGATTTGAGGTATGAAAACATCTATGGGAGCTAGTGGGTGGTGTGCTGGGTGTGTATAATATACGCCTCCTCCGTTCTCTCTCCTAGGAGATCTTTAGCAGAGTGTCCTCTTCTGATGAAAGCTTTTCTGTGAGAGCTGTGTATGAGGAGAAATAGAAAAAGTCCAGGGCTGGGAATGCAAAGGGAGATGGTCTTTCAGATTTGAATTGAAGAAAGAGGAC